GAGAAACAACTTACCAAATCTCATGTTTTTCATCCTTTGTAGATCAGCTTCTGTAATTTGTCTGCTTTATGCTGCAAATATTGCTCGGATCTTCAGTGCTCCAACACTCTCTTCTCTCAGTCCCAGTTTGATCCTCTTCTAGACATACTTCTCCTGTAGATCAATTAGGACATCACAATTTCTTATCTTTAAGAGTGGTTGAATTGATTATAATGTTTGACACTTGATTTCTGTAACCACAAGAAGTTCAGTTTAATTTCTTATCTTTAAGATTGACTTGATTATGGTTATGAAATCACTGACACTTGGTCTCTTGTATAGGTTCGTGATAGATTGGTCATGTTTTTTTGTAATGTGCTCAATTTGGAGGCAATGGGCTAGCCGGCTAGTTGTTCTATTATCATTAAAAAATCGTAATTATTCAAAAACAAGAAAAAATAACAGAAATCTATACAACCAAGCATTTTAGAGACAAACCTGCTCCTAACGAGATCTTTTGTGAATGCGCTCTTTTTATACGTAATAAGCTTCTCATGGCGTTTAATGGTTCCAAGAACCTGAGTCTGAGAAGCTAGCTTGCTATTCTCACCCGATGAGCAACAAATTTTCTGGAAACAATAAAACTTGGTAGAGAAAAGATAGGGATTTAAATTGGTAATTAAATTTTGTATATCGTGGATTGCTTCTAATTTTGTTTGTTTGGTCACAAGTGGATAGCTTCTATTTAAAATTCATAATTTTTATCTATTTTTTTCAGTTTTTCATGCTGAATAATTTATTTAAATGGAATTTTTGACAAAATTTTAAAAGTGTTTTGCAGAAAATTTAAATTGATTAGATAACATAATTATCGAGTCTAATTAAACACTTCTTAAAAATAAGATTTTGTTAAGTGAACAATACGATGATAAAAATATTTTCAGATACGATCTAGAAACAATAAGTTATTGAAATGGAAAAAAGAGACGTACCAATTTAGAAACAAAAATGATGTGATTTGTTTTTTGATATCAGAAATTATTGAAATAATTTCCTTTTTTTAGTTCAATACACTACAAAAAAACAGGGCCGTTTCCGACGGCCAAAACCGTCGGAAATCCGTCGGAATAAGCCCTATTCCGACGGTTTACCGACGTTTTTGGTCCGTCGGTTCTATCTCGTCAGAAATTAAAAACCGTCGGAAATCCGTCGGAAATACTGACGGATTTCCGACGGAAAAGGGATAACTGGAATCCGTCGAAAATCCGTCGGAATCATTGCCGACGGATTTCCGACGGGCAGAACCTCCGACGGATTTCCGACGATCCGTGTCACCGACGGATTTCCGACGACCCGTGCCACCGACGGATTTCCGACGACCCGTGTCACCGACGGATTTCCGACGACCCGTGCCACCGACGGATTTCCGACGACACGTGTCACCGACGGATTTCCGACGGCCAAAACTTCCGACGGATTTCCAACGGTAGCAAAACCGACGGAATTATTATTTT